TGCGTAGAGGTGAGCCCGACTATATCTAGCCGGTACCTCTCAACCTCACGCACTAACTCAGGCTCCTTCCCCACCAGAGAGGTGACATTCCATCTCCCTATTGCCAGTCTTGGCGGCCGGGGATCAGTCCGCCAGGGCCTCTGCTCCTGGCCGCCGCTCGGCACACTCTGTCAGAATAGACATTAAGCCTATATATAATACGAGATGGGCCAAGTGCAAGTGTATAGTTGACAGTACTGTTTTCTTATTCTGCTAGTAAGTCTATAAGTCTGTTTTATCCTAAAGATGAGTAGGTGGAGCTGTGTTGACCATCCAGACAACTTTTGCTATATTAGATATATTTGTGGTAAATACACCACCTGTGATCAGCGCAAAAACCTGACAAAGAGAGTGAAAAAAGTATTATTTCAGGTGTAAAATTGGAGATCAAGACAAAAACTGGGCTCCTCACAGCTGCTGCACTGTGTGCTACTCTGGCAACACACAGTGGCTCAATGGCAAGAGAAAGGCAATGTCATTTGCTGAAAATGACATTTGTTTCTATACTGATGTGAATGGTCTTATGCTGGAGCTAGATTGTGACTATGTACCTGAGCAGTGGAGATTATTTATAGACTCTGGCAAAGCTAGCTTGAATGTTGCATTGCTGCACAATGGCAATGAAAAACCTTCTTTTCCTCTGCTCATGCTGTGGGAATGAAAGAGACATACAAGTCAATGGAACTCTCTGTATCTATTATTATAGGATATAGTGTACAATATAAAGCACCTTTAGGTGACTATTGTTGTGATTTGGTGCTATATAAATAAAATTGAATTGAACTCATTTTGAAGTTGGATCAACTATTCAAATCATAACTGGAACAATTGTGGTGATCTGAAGGTTGTGGCACTGTTGTTGGGTCTACAGTTGGGGTACACAAAACACATGTGCTTTCGTGCCTATGATAATAGCAATCATTACAAGGGAAGCATGGGCCATCCAGAGTTAAGTACACTGTTGGCTGATACAATGTGGTATATGCATCACTGGTTGGTCAACTGAAAGTGTACCTTCCAACACCTCACATTAAACTGGGCCTAATGAAAAACCTTGTTGTGGCAATGGATAGTAAAGGAAATGGTTTCCAGTATCTGAAGGATAGGTTTGGAGAAACCAAAATGGATGCCAAGCTGAAAGCAGTATTTTTTGTTCATCCTGAAATCCGTCAAATGATGTGTTATGACACATTCAGATCCAAACTGAACAAACTTGAACTCCCTGCTTGGGATGCATTTGTGCTAGTTGTGCAAAACTTTCCTTTCAACCATCGGGCTGAAAACGATGCTGAACTTGTAAGCAACATGTTAGCAGAATATCAGCAACTCGGCTGCCGGATGAAAATCAAAATGTATTTCTTGCATTCTCATCTGGATTTTTTACCTCCAAATTTGGGTGATGTGAGTGATGAAAATGGAGAATGATTCCACCAGCATATTGTCACCATGGAGACAAGATATCAAGGCCACTTCAAACCCAACATGTTGGAACGACACTCACAAGTACAAAAGGAAGTGCCTAAAGCACTTTTGAACTGTGTATTGACATTGCATAAAGACTCAAGTGAACTTTTTTATTTACACCTTTGTTAATGTGAACAAGTTTTTGTAATCTCTAACAGTTTTGAAGCAAAATGTAGTTATGTACAGTGGCTGTATAAAGAATATAAAATCAGTTTCTCGTGTCTGTATGAATAGCCAAGGATACTGTGTATAACTTCAGAACCTGATGTCATAGGCAGAATCCAACTATAGATTTGGACTCAGCACACTCAATTAAGTATAAGACACATGGAATACCACAAATAGCAGAAAGAATATTTTGTTCTGTGATTCTGTGTAATGTCTAATCAAAGAAATCACTGAGTCAATCCATTTAAAAAAAGATAAAGCTATGAGCACATATTTACTTACAGAGCTTTGTTGGAGGCTTTGACCACTGGCAGCAGCCTCAGAAGAGCCTCCTCTGAAGCAGAGAATTTATGCAGATCAAACACATCCAGATCTTTTTCTGATGACAGTAAGATGAAGACCAGAGCTGACCACTGAGCAGGAGACAGTTCATCTGTGGAGAGACTTCCTGAACTCAGGGACTGTTGGATCTCGTCCACTAGGGAACAATCATTCATTTCATTCAAACAGTGGAACAGATTGATGCTTTTCTCTGCAGACAGATTGTCACTGAGTTTCTTTTTAATGTAACCAACTGTTTCCGGATTGATCTGTGAGTCACTTCCTGTCTGCGTGAGCAGACCTCGTAGGAGAGTCTGATTGGTCTGCAGTGAAAGACCCAGGAGAAAGCGGAGGAACAAGTCCAGGTGCCCATTCGGACTCTGTAAGGCCTTGTCCACAGCACTCTGATAAAAGACATTTGGTTTATTTTTTCCTTTAAATATTTTAAATAACTGAGATTTTTGTTCTTCCAGAAGATTGAGTCCAGAGTTGATGAAGGTCAAATGGACATGAAGAGCAGCCAGAAACTCCTGAACACTCAGATGGATGAAGCAGAACACCTTGTCCTGATACAAACCTCTCTCCTCTTTAAAGATCTGTGTGAACACTCCTGAGTACACTGAGGCTGCTCTGATATCGATGCCACACTCTGTCAGGTCTGATTCATAGAAGATCAGGTTTCCTTTCTGCAGCTGATCAAAAGCCAGTTTTCCTAGAGACTCAATCATCTTCCTGCTCTCTGGACTCCAGTGTGGATCTGTCTCAGCTCCTCCATCATACTTGACCTTCTTCACTTTAACCTGAACCACCAGGAAGTAGATGTACATCTCAGTCAGGGTCTTGGGCAGCTCTCCTCTCTCTCTGGTTTCCAGCACATCCTCCATAACTGTAGCAGTGATCCAGCAGAAGACTGGGATGTAACACATGATGTGGAGGCTTCGTGATGTCTTGATGTGGGAGATGATCCTGCTGGCCTGCTCCTCATCTCTGAATCTCTTCCTGAAGTACTCCTCCTTCTGTGGGTCAGTGAACCCTCTGATCTCTGTCACCATGCAAACACAGTTGCGGGGGATCTGATTGGCTGCTGCAGGTCGTGTGGTTATCCAGAGGTGAGCAGAGGGAAGCAGTTTCCCCCTGATGAGATTTATCAGCAGCACATCCACTGAGGTGGACTTTCTAGGGTCAGTTAGGATTGTAGTTTTGTGGAAGTCCAGAGGAAGTCTACACTCATCCAGACCATCAAAGATGAACACAACCTGGAAGTCTTCAAAGCTCCAGATTCCTGCTTCTTTGGCTTCAGTAAAGAAGTGATGAACAAGTTCCACCAAGCTGAACTTTTCATCTTTCAGCACATTCAGCTCTCTGAAAGTGAATGGAAATATGAACTGGATGTCCTGGTTGGCTTTGTCTTCAGCCCAGTCCAGGGTGTATTTCTGTGTTAAGACTGTTTTCCCAATGCCAGCCACTCCCTTTGTCAGCACTGTTCTGATTTGTTCATCTCTTCCCGTTAAGTCTTTAAAGATGTCTTCTTCTCTGATTGTTGTTTCTGGTCTGTCTGGTTTCCTGGATGCTGTTTCAATCTGTCTGACCTCGTGTTTTTTATTGACCTCTGCAATCTCTCCCTGTGTGATGTAGAGCCCTGTGTATATCTGATTCAGGGGGGTTTTGTTTAATATTACTGAAATTCCCTCAACCACACACTGGAACTTCTTCTTCAGATGAGATTTCAGTTTGGACTGACCCCTTTCCAGAGCCTCTAAATGAAAACAACAAAATAAAAGATAAGAGATATTAGCATTATAAATGTGATGTGGAATTGTTTACACAGAATAAAGAAATGTAACTGCGCCCTCTCCTGCATTTTGACATTACTTTTCTTTCAGATCTTTTTCTGATGTATAATTTTTTTTATTTTAAATAATTTGACAAAACCCTATCTAATGTTCTTGTGCACTTGAGGAAAAAAATAATTCTGTCAAGTTTTCAAAACTTTGACCTCAGTGACATCATCTCGGAGTCCTAAGTTAGTGCTGCTTTCACTTTTAAAAATCATTTAAATCTCTTGAGTTCACTATTGGATGATTCACCCTCCACATCTTCTCGAGCTCTTCTCTGAGCGATTGGTACTTCTCCAGCTTCTTGTGTTCCTTCTTCCTGATGTTGCTGTCATTCGGAACTGCTACATCTATCACTATGGCCGTCTTCTACCAGAGTTTTGTCCATCTATATCTGGAAGTCCCACAGGATCTTAGCTCGGTCATTCTCCACCATCCCTGGGGATATCTCCCATTTTGACCTCGGGACTTCCAGGCCATACTTGTCACAGATGTTTCTGTACACTATGCCGGCCACTTGGTTATGTCGTTCCATGTATGCCTTGCCTGCTAGCATCTTACACCCTGCTATTATGTGCTGGATTGTCTCAGGGGCATCTTTACACAGCCTGCACCTTGGGTCTTGCCTGCTGTGAATGACCCCAGCCTCTATGGATCTTGTGCTCAGAGCTTTTTCCTGTGCTGCCATGATTCGTACCTCTGTGGTGTCTTTCAGTCCAGCTTTGTCCAGTCACTGGTAGGATTTCTGGATGTCAGCCACCTTCTCTATCTATGCAGGGGCTTGTCCTTCCATGATGGTTCCTCCTCGTCTTCCTCTTTCTTGAGTTTCTGCTGCTTGAGGTATTCACTGAGCATGCGGTCGGTACTGACGCTAACCAGTCCCCGGCCTCCTTCCTTCCACTTGGCATATTGCCTTGGCATACAGCCTCAGGGTGCTGGACTTGGGGGGAAACCCTCTATGCATGGTCACGAGCGTCCTCATCTTGATGTCGGTGACTTCTATCTCCTTTTTAAGCCAGCGTATTATCTCAGCAGAGGTACCTGATCATGGGCAGGGCGTAAGCGTTGCGGATAAGTGGAAGAAAATGGATGGATGGATAGTTTAATGTATCTTGATGAGTATCATACGTTGCTTTAGATGAGTTTCATAGAGCTACTCTATAACTATAATAATTGTCAAAAGTATTAGGCAAATCCTATACTAGGTTCAGCTAGATTGTTTAGATCAATTTTGGATTACATAGTTAGATAACAAGCTAGTAATTTTGGAATAATAATAATTTGAATAGCGTAATAATTCAGTCATTAGAACTGTAGGGATATCATGCTGGAACACATAACGTCATAATAATTTACAATGGTAAAACACTGGAAAGTGTATAAAGCACCTGATTGGTAACAGTTCTAAAAACACATTTCAAAAATTTTAAAATACATACAAATAAAAAAAAAGTAATTAAATTAACATGAGAGTGACTAAACAGACCTTTGTTACACAGATGTGTGGCCTCACCTTTCTTTACAGATGATGATCGATGCAGTTCAGAGAAGAGAACTGGATCTAGTTTCTGAAGATGGTTGATCATTATCCTGCAGGCTTTGTTTCCTTTTTTCCTAACTGTGTCAACAAAGCACCGAGCCTTATTTGCTCTGGATTTGTTTTCTTCTATTATTGATTCTTTTTCCAAATCATCTAAAATGGCATCACTAACAAGGGCTTCAAGGAGCTGTGTAAGGATTTCTGTTGACACCCTCCTCACAAATTCTCTCCGCAACATGAGAAGCTCATCTAAATGAAGAAAAAATAAACACAAACATCTATCTTAGTAAACTTAACACTTTTAGGAAGATGTGCCAATAGATTAAGATTGATAGATTTCACATGTGAGTGAATTCCGATGACTTTATATTTGAATCTAAAAGTCCCATAAACTCCCAAGATGGAAAGTATAAGCACAGTGTTGTGCCATTTCTTCAAGTACCTGAAATCTATTGTTATCTAAGGGAGGTCATTTCCAAGGCTCTTATTCTTATACTCCCTGCTTATTGCCCATAAAACTGCACAATGGACATCCTGCTGGGCAGGCTGTTTCCATCTAGACAGAACCTGACTCATAGACCCAGACAAAGGTTTGTAACTGTGTCTCGGTCTGCTGCAGTAGAAATGCTAAACATATAAATTAGAAACAGCTACATTGATTTACGAGATTTGTTAACTTCTTGCAGTGAGTTTTTGCTTCAGTGTAGCCTAGTGTTTAGTTGCTCTCCGCGCACTTTCATTGAGGACGTGACGTCTCTTACCTGATCAGCAAATTGCAGGAGCGAGTCCTGAGGTGGGCAGTGATGGGTGTTGACCCATTCCTTGCCGTTCTACTCCTATGACATGTTTTTAGGTCAGTTTAAAACAACGTTTGCTTAACCTGTTTCTGAGAATGGTTCAGTTCGAAAATTGCTAACCCTTCGTCAGGATCAGTGAAGTATAGCAGCGGAGGTGGGCTGGCCAGATCAAGCGTAACAGGGGGTATTTCTCCGTTGAATGAGACTATGACAGATCAGCTCACCACCCGTGATGAGCCTGCTTCAGGTTAGGAAAAGGAAAGGGTTAGGGAACTTTTCCAAGTTTGCTCATGTTAGTTCCACACACAGTTCAGCACCACACTGGAACCCATGCAAATTGGCTGGTCCCAGTTGTCCCCGGAGGAGAGGGAGTGACTTTTTCTCTTGTGGATCTTATCTGTCATCAACCCAGCTAATCAGCCCACATAGCAAAATTAGTATGGCCCGGATCAGGCCCACACAATGTGCTTACACATACCGCAAAGAATGACGGACCTTTGGTGGCCCAGACCTGGTTCGCCAGAGATGGCCCACACATGGGCCAGCAGAAGGCCAGTTGCATGCACACTGCTGGCCCTGTGCTGTCCCAGAACAGTTTCAGCTCTGACCCCAGATATCAGCCTAATGTGTACCTTAATCAAGCCATGTAATAACAACATGTGCCAGAACATTCAAAAGTAACATGACAAAACTGTTCAGACAGTGAATATACTGATTCTTATTTAACACTTTACTACTCTCCCCGATTGTGCTCTCTACAACAAGCCACATTCACCCAATCACACACTTTCTCTTAACTGAGTGCTTCCTAACTACATTAATACATATTCACACTCTCGACATGCAGACTGGAGGAGCCAGGGATCGAACCACTAACCTTCCGATCAGTAGGTGACCTGCTCTACTGCCTGAGCTACAGCCAACCAGTGGTAAACATGAACCGTTAGTAGGTTTTGGATAAAGTGTAAAGTCACAAACCTGTCAAACCTGCATTTGAAACATTGGCTACCACAGCAGTATAGTATTGCAACATGGCATTTGGGTCTTCTAACTAAAATAGGAAAATAGGAACATAAACAGTGCCGTCATTGCCAGATCTGGTTGACATACACTCTGCCATGACACCAGTCAGTCAGAAGTGCCAGCTTGTTGCCAGATCTGGGCCAAACCTGTTTTCTGTAGGCCTGGGCCATATAAACCAAACCACAATTGAGCCAGATGTGGCATGCCATCACATAGACAGTGCCATCTATGCCAGGCCTGGCCCATATCTTTACAACATACGTCTTATCATGCCAGAAGTCAGCCAGCATTGCCGGCTTGATACCAGATCCGGGCCAGACCTGCTTGTTACGTGGGAGTGACGTCAAGCTCTTATAAATTGTGGTTCTGAGCAAAATCTAATAAATGTTGAAATTCCAAAACGATTAGATATTCTAGATATTCCCCTCATGCCATTAGACGCCCCCTCCACACACACACACACCACACCAATTGCCTAGCTTCAGCGTGCACCCTGAGCACCTTGTGGAAGGCACAGAACAACCATTTATAGTCTGGACTGATCACAAGAACTTGACTTACTTACAGAATGCTACAAGATTAAATGCTCAACAAGCCTTGCTATTCTTTGCTCCTTTAACGTCTAAATCTTTTACCGTCCAGGTTCTAGGAATGTAACGCCAAATGCTCTCCCCCGCCAGTTTGACTCTGACTTGAATCACTCAGAGTTACCTCTTATACTTCCGGTCAGCTGCAGGATTGGGGCAGTCTCATGGGACGTGGAGGATCCATTCATTGTGCACTTCAAATGGAAACAGATCTTGGGTCTGGCAGACCGGTGCTATATACCCGCGATGGTTCGTTCAAAGGTCCTTGAATGGATTCACACCTCCAAGTTCGCCTGCCACCAAGGCAGAGGTAGGACTTCCACTTTGATTAAAAAATAATTTTGTTGGGAGACATTGGACAGGTACATCAGGGAGTATGTGGCCACTTGTACTGTGTGTGCGAGGAACAAGTCACATAGCGTCACAAGCGTCTTGCAGGACTGTTGCAGCCATTACCCAAACCAAATGGCCCATGGTCCCATATCACATTGGATTTTGTCACAGGACTCCTGGTTTCTGCAGGAAAAACTGCCATAATCACCATTGTAGATAGATTCTCAAAGATTCCCCACAGCCTCCTGGTGCAGGTGGAACACATCTTCAAACTCCATGGGATCCCTGCAGAAATAGTGTCTGATAGGGGTCCACAATTTTCATCTCAGGTTTGGAAGGCCTTTTGCACAGCCTTGAGGGCTAAGCCCTGCCTAAGGTCTGATTATCATCCACAGACTAATGGACAAACTAAACACCTTAATTAAGAGCTTGAGACCACACTGTGTAACCACCCATTACCCTGCCACCTGGGCCGCTTCTCTCTGGGTTGAATATACTCACAAAACTCTTGCCGTCTATGGCACAGCCTTGTTCCCATTCAAAGCATTCATAGGTTATCAGCCGCTGCTTTTTCCTCAGCAAGAAACTGAGCTCACCATTCCATCCATCCAACACCACCTGCAATGTTGCCATGGTTTCCTACAGTGGACCTTTTAAGGTAGACAGAGTAATTAGCCATACGGCGATCAAGCTAACACTCCCTCCATTGTTACGGGTTCACACTTTTTTCCATGTCTCTCATGTTAAACCGGTGCTCTCAAGCCCTCTGTGCCCTCCTTCCAACGCCCCACCTTCCCCCTAGCTTATCATTGGACACCCAGCCTACTCGATCTTCAGCTAACCTGTGTTAGTATTAGGCTGCCAAAGCTTTCTTGTCTTTTGTCATAGTTAATATTCTTGTTTACCTTGTGTTTTCTCTGCTTCCAGTAATCTGCCTGTTCACCTCGTTCATCTCTTAACTATACTGACATTTACTAGGACACTGGTCTTCTTGGCAAATTAAGTTCAGTTCATGCCCCGCTTTTCTCATCACTCCACCTGCCTGCCTTCCTCTCACAGCAATTGGGATTCATTGGATCACTTCATATGGAAAAATACCAACTGGAGACTCACCCGGACCTTTTGGACTACCTTTCCCCCTCCCCGCCATCCTCCACCTGCTATGAGTGAGACATTTTAACTCCTAACACTGTTTTCCCCGATAAACTACTGGAACTCTCACTTCACGGACAATAAAATCTGAACTGCACCATAGCTTCCAATTTATGCTTCATGCCTTTTTCAAGGCTCATGTTTGTGCCAAAGTTCACAGTTTATGCTTGTTTGTTCACAGCTCATGCTTGTGCCATAGTTCATAGTTTATGTTTGTTATATCACAGCCTGTAAATAATACTCAGTATCACGTCTATCAGTGCTTCCATCTGTGTCTGCCTTTGGGTTCATTGGCCAGCACGGACTGTTGGCATTCATGTGTTAGTGATAAAATCTGTCAACCTTAGTCTCAGCACTTAGGTCCTCGGGTTATATGAATATAAGAAAAAGTGATCAAGCTTTTGCTCACTATATTGAATCATGAATGAATGATTTAATAAAATTTTAATCTACAAATTTAATCTACATCCAAATGTCCATATCAACTTGTGTCTTGTGGGATTAGAGAGTCACTGAGCAGTAAAGGATTTGTCCTTTGTTGGTTATGATAATGTTTAACAGTGTAGTTGTAGCAGATGTTGACTCTTACCTTCTGATGAAACTGATGAAGCTCCTTGGGATGAGAGATTTCCTGCTGGAGGAAGGCACATCTTGAATTACAAAACTGCCATTTGAGAGTGAAAATATTTTAGGCTTCAAAGCCATTTGCAGTGGGAAAAAAAGTATTGAATTCATAATCAATTTTCTTAGTAAATATATTTATAAAGGTGCCACTGACATCAAATTCCCAGCAGATATCAGTAACCCTTCCAATCCACACATGCAAAGAAGCATAGATGTCTATGAATTAAGCTATGTGTAATACTGAGAAATAACAATGGGAAAAAGTGTTAAACACATGAGGAAAGGGTGGTGCAAAAGGGCATGGAAAGTCATGGCACCAACTGAGGCTGCAGATATAGCCATGCCATAAGGAAAATCAGTGAAAGTACACCCATCAGGGACAAGAGGAGAAAAAAGAACTCTACTCAAACTGGGAAACTAAATGAGAGACCAGTTTGACGACAGTAAAAAAACACCTCAGCACAAAAAAGCACATGAATATTCCCATGTACACTATGTAAGCATGTGACATGCATTTCGGATGGGTGAGGGTGAGTGAATGTGTATCTGTGTCAGTGTACTTGCTTGTGTGTGTGTCCTGTTTTCAGCTTGAGAGTGTCCTTTCACCCAGTTAAGCGGAAGACAACAGTCCGCAGGCTACGGAGGTGGGCTTGAAAGGATATGGGCAAAAGTGTCAAACAGTCCCGTTATCAAGGAGAATTTTTGATGTTCCCATCAGCCTTGGCCTTCGAGCCAAATGAGATGAAGATAATGGCTATTTGGGTTAGCACGAACAGACTGCATCTGAAATTTACAGTTGTTCTTAATGACCATCACTGGTCACCAGGTGTATCAATTTCCCATTGAAGAGCAATAAGATTCTCCAAGATCTTTCCCATATTGCGTTTAATAAGAACAGGCTGAGTACTCATGGCTCTCACCATTGCTTCGATCATAGGGGCCAGCCTTGTGGGGTTTTGAACAGCTGTAGTCGCTTTCTTCAGTAAGCCAGGGCCAAGTCAGCTCCGATCAGCAAGAACCCTGTTATCGTGGTTCCAAATAGGTAGATGTCTTCAATGTCTTCAATTGACAGTCCCACCAGGCACACGACGAGCCAGTTCTACCATCCATTCATTGTTTATCCGGCAGGGAAAGTCGCTCCAGGATAGTTGGGCTCTCCTGAACTCAGGCTTCTCGTTGAGAGGAGAGCGTCAATTGCATTTAGAGAACAGTTGATGAAATCCATGATTCTTGTTTAGGTTTTAGAGAACAGGACTGAGAGGCTCTTCTGGGGCTAGAGATAGACACGACTAGACATAAGACATAAGTAGCCAAGCAGTAAAGATAAGGGAGGGAGAGAGATGCATCTGCCCCCATCAGAGCCAAAGCAAGAAGGGAGAATGAATAGAAAATATGTACCAAAACATTTGTGATAGAAATCTGGTGCTACCTATCAGAATGAATAAGATTAAATGAGAGCGAATATTTCAGCAAGACAATGATTTCTCAATTTGTTTCTCAGAGAGAAAATAAAGCTGCCAGCCTGACTGAATCCAACCAAACCAACGGAAAATCTATGGAAAGAACTAAAGTTCAGAGTTCATAGAAGAGGCCCACGGAACCTTTAGGATTTTAAGACTGTTTGAGTGGAAGCCAAAATCCTAACTGAGCTTTGCATGTGACTAGTTTCTCCATAGAGCAGGGACCTTGAAGCTTGAACCTTGAAGCAGGCACCAACAAAGGCTTTTGTATAAAGTATTAAACAAATTTTGGTATGTAAGTTCAATATGTTTTCCCTGTGTCATTTCTCATTCTTACAAATAACTTAATTAATGTCAATAACTCTTTAATCAGAATCAGAATCAGAATCGTGTTTATTGGCCAAGTATATGTGCAGACACATACAAGGAATTTGGTTCCGGTAGATGGAGGCTCTCAAGCACAGCAA